CCCCAAAACCCCAAAACCCCAAAACCCCAAAACCCCAACAAAAGGTTTGTTTTAGAAATTAAATAAATTTAAACTATTCAAACTCAAAAAGAGGGAAGGATGAGTCAGCCAAAGCAGAAATCAAAGAAGAGGTTTGACCCTGACAATGAGTACAGTGGAAAAGAAGCTCAGTGAGATTATATTATCCAGAAATACACCAAGAAGGGTTTTGAGAGCTTGTCTCTAGAAGAACTAGCCTTTACAATGGTTACTAATAACTTTGGGCTAAGGTTTAAAGAAAAGACAGGCAATGAATGGTCCACTCCAATACAAATGAAGGTTATTGAAAGACTTAGAAGATGCAATTTTGATATCCAGTGGATGACCAGAACAGGTAAACTACCTGTCACTGATACTGAGTTTTGAAATGATGTCTACTTTGGTCTTATCAGAAAAGGAGATGTTGATAAGATCATTGAGTATATGAGAAAATATAAAGAAGACATACTTGACGCAGTTGATTCCAAGAAAAGAACAGGTCTTCATGCAGCTTCTGAGCATGGGCAAAATACTGTTGTTGACCTTATGATAAATGCAGGTTTGAATATTAATGCTAGAGATAAACTCCTAAGAACTCCATTACACTGGGCTTCTATAGGTGCTCATGATGGATGTGCGGACTTGCTCCTGAAAGCAGGATGTGATCAATTTCAGAAAGATTGTTTAGGAAGAACAGCTTTTCATTATGCTGCTACTGGGGGTGATGCTTCTTTATTGATTCTAATGGCAGCAAAAGAGCCAGAAATTGTTCATTGAACAGATGATCATGGAAGAAGTGCTCTCCATTATGCTATTTTCAACAAGAACCCGAGACAGGTGAATATTATCAGAACTTTATTAGAATTGAAATCAGACGTAAATGCTCTAGATGAAGAGAGAAAGACTCCTCTTCATCATGCTGCTGAGTCTGCAAAGATGAGAATAATCCCAATTCTTGTCCAGAATGGCGCAAGTTTAGTTATCAGAGATAAAACCAATAAAAAGACTCCTGTGCAAGCAGCTGCAAATGAAAAAATCAGAGAGCTAATACTGATGTATTGTGAAGAGGAAATAGTAAGTCTTTCATTCTAAATTCATATTCAGCCAAAAGAAAAGAAAAAGGAAAAGGTAGAAACTCTGAAAGCTAGCCGAGGTGATTTATTTGATGAATTTAAACCTGGTGTCAAAGGTACAAAAACAGATTACTTAAAGAAACATTCTCCACAATCCTCTAAGAAGAAGGGTAAAGTAACTCCTTGGGAAGAGTAAGTTCTTGAGTAAAAAATAGGAAGAAAAAAAGAGATGAACTTGAAGAACTTGAGTCAAAAGGGCTTCTGCCTTTTGATTTAAGGAATCATAGAACAAAATTAATAAAACTGATGAAGAAAGTTCAGGAGTATGGAGTTAATCACAACTTACATAAGAAGAAGAGGTATATCTTTAGTGGATCTTGGATGGAGAAAGTTGAAGATATCACAGAACTCATGGCTAGCATCCATGAGACTAATTCATCTGAAACAGCACTCAAAATCTTCAATGTTATTCATCCATATGATAAACCCCTTCCTCCAATAGATGAGGAGGAAGATGCTTTAAGAGAGTTTTATGAAGGAGATCAGAAGAAGCTGGATTACAATAAGAGTCTTCTTAAACAAACTCCTGAAGCTTTTAGAGAAAGGATGGCTGCCAAAGGAATGGATAACTTGATGATGAGCAAGAAGGACCAAACATCTTCAGGCAATAACGAAGAAACTAAGGATTATATGGGAGAGCCAGTTGATTCTGAAGAATTCAGAGACCTCCAAAATTTACTTAAAGCTACTGAGGACAAACTTGAATCTGCTAATAAAGAGATAGATTCATTAAAACTAACTATTGATGAGAGGGAAGAGATCATCGAGCAATTGAGAGAACAACTAAACCAAGATACTGCAGTTGCTGAAGATGTTCAACTCGAGAATAAGAAACAAGCTGATGTGATCATCAAGCTTAATAATGAACTTAAAGATGCTCATGATCAGATAGAAGAAGTTAAAAAGAAGCTTGTAGAGAACAAGAAGGAATATGAGAAACTTGTAAAGGACATCCCTGAGGTAAAAGAGCTTGAAGCTATAAGGAAATCAATGCAGAATAATGAACGACAGAGAGTACTTGACGGGCAGAGAGATAAAGCACTCAGGTTCAGATCTGGAATGCTTTTTCAAAGAGCTCTAGATAAGCTAGATAAAGATGAGCAAAAGCCTAAACCTACTAAAACCAAGAAGAAGGATCCTGTAAAATCTGGTGATTATTACCTGACTGACGATAAAGCTTTGATCAGATTTTTAAATTCAGTCGAGAGGAATGACAAAAGCTTATATCAAAGACTTCTCGATGCAGATATCGAAAAGACAGGAACATTGAGGAAATCTCAATTTACTGAAATGCTGAATGACCTTAAGGTGACTCCTCAAGATGTGATGAGCCTCCAGAGAATAGCAGGATTTACAAGTGGAAGAAATGAAATTCAAATAGATGAATTTATTAAGATCATTAAAGAAAGAGGGAAAATTAGACAAACTGTAGAGGAAGATACTTTTAGAAAAATTCAGAAATCTATAAGAAAGCAAGGATGGACAATCCACGAAACCTTCCAAATGTTTGATATTGACAGGAATAACAAGATTGATTTCCAAGAAATGGTCAATGGGTTTAAAAAGCTTAAGATCCATATTCCCAACAAACACTTGAAATCTATCTTTGCCATTCTAGATGAAGATTCGAATGGAACCATTTCTTTGCCTGAATTTAGAAAGAAATTGGATCAATACGACACAAAGTCTCGCCGCCTCGATAACCTCGATGGCTCTGTAGAAAAACCTGGTTCCGCTGATGATCAGAACCAAGAAGATGCAGAAGAGGAGGAATACAAACGGCAAGAAGAACTAAAGCGTAAGAAAGCAGAAGAGGATAAGCAAAAATCTCTTCTAACTGATAAAGATATAAAAGAGTACAAGTCAAACATAGATAAGACTAAACAGCTAGTAAAATCAGATGTTCAAAAGAAGAGGCAACTTGATGAGATCGAAAAACAAGTAAAGGAAGAAAAGAAGCAGGAGCATTCTAGGCGTCTTCTCAAAGGGCAGTTAAAAGTTCAGGTTGGCAAGGGATATAAGTTGGCTAATCTCCAAGCACAGGGATATAAATACTTTTACATAGTATTCTACCTAGAAGGGACCAATGAGAATCAATCCTTTACATCTAAACCTATTTTGTACTATGCTAAGAATAGTTTCCACTGGTCTGCTCTGATTCCATTGGTGGATACTCATCCAGATGACCTTGGAGATGAGTTCCATGTTAAATTTTATGCTTCAAAGGGTGAATTTGAGAACTCAGAATTCTATGGAGAGGTATTCTGAAAATGGAAATCAACGTTGCAGAAGCATAATGAATATGTGATTGCTAATAAATTTGAGATTTCCGACAACAAAAATCAATGAAATATTGCTAAAGTCCAAGGAAGAGTTATGGTCAGCGCAAAATATATCCCAGCAGGAGATGAAGGAAGCTTACTTACAGTAACGGGGAAGGCAAAGGAAAGTCTAAAAGAAGCTCAAGAAAAAGGCACCAAAAAGGTGCAGAAAGGACCAGTCACCAAAATAGGAAATTTGCAAGTAGAGATCTTCAGAGGTAAAGAGTTTGAGCCAAAGCCAAGACACAAATTGATACTTAGGTTAGATGGAAGTAAAAATAAAGAGAATACTCAAACCGTTAAGCCATCTGATCGGCCAGATTTTGATGAAAAAGTTATCATACCTATATATAAAAGAGAGACTGAAGATGTTCCCAACCTAATTATTCAAGACATCGATCCAGATGAGGAAGATATTTTGTCGTCTCTATCAATCAATTTCTCAAAAATAGCATATACCAAAAAGCAAGCTGTAATCAACACAAAGTGGTATGCGTTTGACGATAAGCCTGAGAAGGTGCTCCAGATGCAGCTGAGCTTTACTAATGCTCACTACAAGCCTCCAAAGGAGAAGAGTAAATCTGAAGCAGAAATCTTGATAGATGAGGATAAGGCCCCAGCTCCAAAAATGACTGAGTTCAAATTTGATGATAGTAGTATTCCTGATCCGAAAGATACCAATAAATTTGCTGATGAGTTCCCTTCAGAGAGTTCAGATAATAAATTAGATCCCATTGCTGAAGAAGATGATCAAGCTCCAGAAAAACCGCTGCAATTTAATATTGGTGATACTATGGGAGATGTGTCAGAAGGTAGTGGAGACTTCAATAATCTTTAATTTCTTCTTTCAGATCTTCAATTATTGTACTTCAACTGGGGTTTTGGGGTTTTGGGGTTTTGGGGTTTTGGGG